TCAATTTAGTAGTGTTTTTACTAATATTAAAACTAATATTTTTTTATGGATTTTTGATGTGCATCTTTAATTCTACATTTAAAGGTTGCACCCTCATATAAACTTTTTTTTTTTCTCAAAACCATGTACTCTCCCACTAAAAGAACTCAATGCCCGGATGAAAAAACCCCTCACGAACTCAAAAAGAGAGAAAAACAATAAAGAAAGAGAGAGAGAGAAAGTAGGGAAGATGCATTATTATATCATTTTAATTGAAGTGAAATTTTAGGGTTTACATGATTTTAGTATGGTGCATGCAAATAAAATAACAAAAAGTATTTTGAAACCTAAAAATGACCTAACTACCCCTGCAGGAAGGCCCTGGTAGTTGAGTCATTTTTCACTTATCAAATTATTTTATAATATTTTATTTGGATTTGCCTTGATAAAATCTATAGGAGATTTTTCTTTTTATAAGGTTGACACCTTAAAAATGTAGAATTAAAGTGCACCTCTAAAATCTTTTAAAAATGGTTATTTTGATATTGGAAAAAGATCATTTTGACATCGAGATGTATAGATATGGAGAAAAAAAGAGATTTCAAGTCCTAAAAATAGTCTATTTTCTAACAAATTATCTAGACCATCTATTTTCACGATTTTTATGAATTTATAAAATGCTTAATTTGAATCATTTGGAGTTTAAAATTTTATAATTAGAGATAAAAAATATATTCCCGTACCGTCAAAAATATTTTCGACACTGTAATTGCAGATCATGATAAAGTTTGGAGGTGCATCTTACTTTGATTAAGGTTGCAATATTATGCAAACTACATCCAAAATCTACAGGAGCCCCAATTTTTGTGTTAATATGATTTTAATCAAAATTAAAAATATAATTCTTTCACAAAATATAGAATGTTCATTAGGCCCAGATTCAATCTAAGCCATGAGATGTTTACTAGCTAGTGGGTGTATGGTGTACATTATGGAGTGTCTCTTCTTTGGGTGGGTGCATCATGATCATCATAATCCGAGGAAGAGAGTGATTCAATGCTAGAGCCGTCGTCGTCGTCCTCAGATGCTGAGGAGCTCCGAGTTGGTGTGGTTGCTTCAGTAGGTAGGCCTTCCCTAGATACAACAATGCTCAAGGGGCTCTCCCCATTTGCTAGGGCAACATCTCTGTTGAGCTCCACTTCTTTTTCTCTCTTTCTTTGGGTAGAACTATGAAAGGAATGATCCCTCTCATTAAAGACTGTGGCTATGACCTTGATTTGTTGACATAGCCCTTGTTCATCTACTCCAAAGCGACTGTGATTCTTATTCCAAAAGCAAATTGAGAACCAAATTAGAGCTCCAATCGATGCAACCCCTACAATGAGGAAGAGGCCCCAAAAGCAATCAAGGCTAAGACCGCTTGAAGTAGCTGCAGATGAGGAGACTGGTTGTCTATCTTTTTTGCCAAACCAAGCCCGCTCTATGGCCTCTATCTTGTCTCCTTCAGTTATGTTGAGGACCGCGGTCGAAAGATCCGAAAGTAGCAAGGAGTTTTTGGGGAGGACCTATGTCACAGATGAAGAATGGTCAATCAATTAAAGGACGAAATGTAAAGATCATCGTTGTTAACACCAAACCGAATTGCTGGTCTGAGAAGTCGGACACCTGACCGGTACCTTGACCAGTCTTTTTCAAAGATAAAATTCGGATTAGGTTGAAAACCCTTAAAACTAATGATTAACTAGTTTTGGCCGGTCCGAACTAATCAGTTTTAATTGGTTTAACCAGCTAGAAACAATTGCAGAAGTTTTTTAATGCATTTCATATTTTAAAATTATTATATCTATTTTTATTTTATTTACTTTTTTTTCTAAAATCAAGCGTAACTAGTTTTACCAGAAGTTGGACTGATTTTAATGGATCAAACCCCTCACTAATTTGGTGGACGGTCCGTTCTTGTTAAGTTGGTAAATATGGTGTCCTGGAGTATGTATTAAATGACACAAATTGATAAGGTAATCTATTAGTTTTTTTCCCTATAAAATTGAATAATAAGACAATCTCCAACTAGAAACTTTTTAATTTAAACAACAAACAATTTCCAATTGGAAAAAATAATATTTGTAAGGCCTAAGCTTTATAAAAACAATGTAAAGCGCCACCTTGAATTCTTGTTTGGAAAGCACTTTGGACATCAGAAATCTCCATGATGTCTCTAAAATAACACCAACTATAGAAATTGAAACTCAAAAAATGATATAGATATCACAAATCTGTAAATAATTATTTTTAAGGTGTAATAGGTGACAATGTGTTACCCTACTATTTTAGGGCTTGAAATTTCAATAAATTTTTTTTTAATGACCATAATAGTGAAGGCCAAGATGATTGATTTGAAGATTTTCGGATGCCAAAACCACAATTCTCGATGAGTTCTGATTTGGGGCTTTGCTCGTTTTGAGTTCTGATGTGAGACTTTACATTCGAAAAGCCTAGAGTCAAGTATATTGCGACAGATTTCCCATTATTTGAAACTAAGGGCAAACCTTAAGATTTTCGCAGAAGCAAATCCATTCATTTCCTAATTACTATCTTACCATTACCAATATTCGTAGAAAAACCTTTTCCTTTGGAACATTACGCTATAATGTTTCACCACTTTGAAAAACAACATTTTCCTTTGGAAAACATCTTTTAGGTGGGCCAGATGCCCAAACTGTTCCATAGTAGTCTCCCTCTCTACAAAAGGAAAATTGTTTCTACAATATGCTGTCTAGAGGTAGAAATCACCTATCTTAAAAATGGATGCAAATAGGTGGTCCATCTAGAGACAAGTGTAACCAACGGTCCAAATA